GGCACGGACACAGTGTCGACAGGAGTTTCAGAAATCCCGTGTCTGCTGTGGGGACGAACGACATGAGACAGCAGATGCCTTAGGGGTTCCAGGAGGCCTCTTAGGGGCCACCCTACCCCCAACATGCACAGTGCCGCTGCGGTCCCTGGGAGCTGGGGCGTGGCCCCTGCTGCTCCACAAGCTTGGCCGGCACCTGATGTCCCTGTCACACTTGGGGCCTGGCCATCAACTCAAGTCCAGCCCCTGTAGGGTGGGTCTTGGGGAGGAAGCATCCTGGGCAGGGAAGCTCCGGCCCCGTGTTGCCCACGCATGGCCGGTGCCAACAACATGTCCCTGTGGAAATGGACTGAGGTCTCGGGGCGGGAGGGTGCCAGGCACAGGCTGAGTCCCCAGCCCCAAGGACAGGTCACCGTGGGGCTGCTGGTGGTGGGGTGCCCGAGGTCACGGGCAGCGGCACAGCGGATCCTCCCGAGGTTGCCCTGGCATGCTGATGGCAGATAAGGGCCCCGGGGCCTGTTGGTAGTTTTCCGTCTGCACAGCAGGCGCCAGGCCTCGCGGGGGCACCGTCAGCTAGAAGTTCCCTGCTCCCCAGCTCCAAGTGCCAGGAACGGGGCGCCTTTCCAGAACCTTCCAGCCTGGCCCCAGAAGCAAGCCCTGCTGGCTGTCCACCAGCCAGTCCCTCTGGGGACCGACTAGCGCCAGGGGACACGCCTTGTCTTGCCCCAAGCCAACACCAGCACTGGGTTTGCTCATGAAGGCAGGGCAGGCAGAGGCAATGTCGCAGCCCACCTGGCAGACGGTCCCCTCCCCAGCCAGGTAGCAGGCAGGTGCGTCCTTGGGGGCAGTCCGCCGGTGTCTGGGCCCAGGCTCCTGGGCAGAGGCAGGTGGCTCTCACCTGGTGTTGCTAGCGGAGCTGTGCCTGCACACGGCAGCTGCTGAAGGCATGTCCAGTTCCATGGGGAGCCCCGGCCCCTGCCGCAGGGGCCCCTGCGATGGGGTTCCCAGGGAGTCAGGGAGCAGCTCTCTGCCCTGAGACCCGCCCCATGCTGCAAGAGCCCCGCACCCCCTTGGGGGCCACGGCAGCGGTGCTTCGGTTGACTGACTTTGTGGTTCTGTGGCCTGGGTGTGCCCAGCCACTGCGCCGGGCGTGGTGACCCCTGAGTCTTCCTGGGCAGCCCTCGGAGAGTGGCGAGAGCCTGGGCAGCCGGCCGTGGCCTTCCTCTGTCCCTGCCCCTGGCTCTGCATCAGAAGGCTGTCTCCTCAGGCAGCACTGAGCCGGGGCCACTTCTGGTCTCCATGGCATCTTTCTTGGGGAAGAGGTGAGACTGGGCAGGGCCCCAGGTCAGCCCCAGAGCCATCCATTAGGGGCCAGGTGACCCAGGTGTCAGAGGAGCCAGGAGCGGCAACCTTGCCCACTGAGCTCAGGGTCCAGGAGCGCAGTGGGGGAGAGCTGGCAGAGCAGCCTCCCCAGCAGCTGGCCCCCACTGTCTGGTGTCAGCCCTCATGCCCGGCTGTGCTCCCGAGCCCCAGCGTCATGATGTGCTGGCATCAGGTCCTCTGCCCATGCACTGCCAGCACCATGGAGGGCTGCCTGGGGCCGTGTTGCTGATCTTGGACTCAGAAGTGTGGGGCACGACGGGCTCCACTGTGGTAGCCAGGGACTCCTCTGGTCAGTATGCACTCCTGGGCTCCCTCCTGGGGCCAGGCCGGCTCCTCCCGGAGCTGTGGCTCCTAGGCTCCGCCCCACACACACATGTCACCCAGATCATTTCCACCCAGGGACCCTGGGGACCCAGGGCAGCCATTCACAGAGGCTGACTCAGCAGGGTCAGGAGGCATGCCAGCGGGGAATGAGAACTCAGGGTCCCAGGAGCCAGACTGGAGGACAGGTTGTCTAAGAACTCCCCGCCAGGGGGTGGGGTTCCATCCAGAGGCAGGTCTTGGGAATCCTGCTCACTTCCGCCGATGGCTGAAACCCCCAGTGTCAGTGGGGTCAAGCACCTTAGAAGCAGGTGACCTGGGTCAGGCGGGGCCACGCCTCCAGCTGTGCCGAGGAGAGCCTTGGGCGGGGCCTGGAGCAGATGCCCTGCCCTTGAGCTGTGCCTTTCAGTGTCCCATTCAGCTCTGTCCCACACAGCTCCCTGAGGACCCCACGCAGCCCCACGGGCGGAGAGCCGGCCCTGTGGCTGTGCTGCAAGAGGACCCCTGGTCCCTCCCGCTCTGGCGGAAGCGGCCACACGGCTCCATCCCACATGCCAGTTCCCCTGGAACCAATTAGACTAGGACGGATTCTGTGTCTGTCCGCCAGCAGCGCGCCCTAGGAAGCCGGTAAGTGGATTACCGCTTCCCACCAACGCTGGGCCTCTGTGCGGCCACCAAGGCCACCCGGTGTTTCCCGGTCGCTTCTAAGGCCACATCCCAGAGCACTGGCCCTGGCCCAGCCCCCACGCCGCTGGGCAGATGGGCACTGTGGGTGCCACTGTCTATGGGGGAAGCCCCGGGGGCTCCGCAGGAGAGGGTGAGCCCGGGGCAGCCTGGCTTAGGCCTCCTGCATCCTTGCCTCTCAGCAGCTTGCCTTCTCATCTTGAAAGTGGGGCCATGGGCTCCTTCCTGCCAGAGGGACCTGCAGGAGGAAGCACCCCGGGGTGGGTCAGACTAGAAAGGGCTGATGGTCCTGTTCCCGGGGCAGGAGGGGGCAGGTCACGTGGTCAGTCTGGGCTGCCCCAGAAGGCCCTCCCAGCTCCGAGCCTGGACCTGGCACAGGGAGGGGACTCTGGAGGCAGTGCTTTGGGTGCTGTTTGATGACAGAGGCCAGCACAGATGTCCCTTTGGGGACAGGCCCTCCAGGGTTGGGTTGGCCGTCAGGGACCTCCCAGGTGGGCCCAGTCCCTCAGCCTTGCAGCGGGCAGTGAGCTGGGAAGCAAATCATGTGCCAGGTGGCTCTGGGCATGTGTCATGCTTGGACCCCGTCTTGACCTTAACAAGCCCACTGTGGCCCCGGCTTTTCCTGGGAGGGGCGCAAAGCCTCCTGGAAGGGTAGGAGAGCGGTCTTACCCCCAGGACTCCCTCTGGGCCCGGGTCTCCGGATGTCTACTGCAGAACAAGGGTGTGGCATGTTGGGGTGGGTCTGCTCACAGCTCACCCGTGGACCTGGGCTGGGAGACGCAGCTCCTTCCTCCTGCCCATCCCAGCTCCCATTCAGTCAGGCCCTCCCCACCCAGGGAGGCACAGGACCCCACAGCTGCCTGTGTCCTCGCGGGGGAGGTGGGCTCAGCGCCCTGGAGCTGGGGGCAATGCCCCGGATGGCAGCCATTCTATGCAGGAACAGCAGGCCAGCCTGCTCCAAGCGATGCTTCCTTCTGAGCTCCCCAGCACGCTGACGAAGACTTCCCATCACCCACGCACCCAGCCCTCACGCCCCACAGCGCAGGGCGGGGGAGAGACAGGTTTGCCCTGAAGGAACCGCAGGTGCCAGTGTGTGCCGCGAAGGCAGCCTGGAGCCAGCTGCCCTGGCTCCATCCAACCCCTCCTGCCACCCATAGCTGCTCCTCTCTGTCTGAGCTCCCCCTTCCCCAGTGAGGTGGACGGACCTGGGGGACCGAGTCCCTGCTTCTGCAGTGACACCTGGCACCGTGCATGGTCAGCCAGAGCTCAGCACTGCCCCTACCTCACCCCAACAGGCCCCGGGACAAGCGTCCACCTGCAGGGCATCAGGCCGGGTTCTTGGCTCCTGCGGCTGAGAGGCCAAGGGCAGTGTCCACAGCTGCACAGGTGTGGACAGCCCCACTCAGGTGGGGCAGGCGCAGGGCAGGCGGCAGGAAGGCGCTTCTCCTGAGAGCCGTGTGCATGCCAGGAGCTGCCCTCAGTTGGGAGTCTGCCCACTTGCCCACCCATCAGTGAGTGACTGGAGCAGGGCACTCCCGGGGCACCAGTGCAAACCTGGCACCCCTGGCCCTACACCCTGAGCCCAGCAGCCCTCCAGGCTACCACCCACTCCTGTGCGCCCTGGTCACCATCCTTCACTCTGCCCATGCTGGCATCCAGGAAGCGGGACAGAGGGAGATGGAAGGACTGGGCCAGCAGGTGGAGGCGGGGCAGGGGCTGCTGTGGCGAGACCAGGGTGAGGGCTGGGTGGCCATAGCAGGGGGTCCAGCCGCAGCCCCTCCGGCCACTCTCCCCTGTGGCCACGCCCTCCACCTGCCAGGAATCCTGCACCCTGTTGGGCTGGACATAGCTATGGGGGGTGCAGGCCTTGCCCATGAGGGCCCCTTCTGCCACCTCCATCTGTAAGGGAGCCCTCGGGGAGAGGCCCCGCCCCCTCACAGCCACCTTCCCCAGGGCTGGCTGTGGGCCTGGCCACCCTCCAGGAACTGGCCTTGGCCTGGGACTCCAGCCCGTGCGGTGTGGGGGCAAGGCTGCCTCCTCACGGCAGCTCCTCACCTCCCCCGAAGAGGCCTGCCGCAGAGGGCCCAGAACCCCGCTGAAGGCCAGTGGGGGTGGGGGACAGCCCCCAGGGTCTCTCACCCACCTAGAGCCGGGAAGATTGACATAAAGACCTCTCCTCCAGTAGGGAGGGGTGGAACCCAGAGTCTCCTTCCAGGGACGGGGTGGGGGGCAGAGGGAGGTGCCCTCACCCCGCCTGAAAGACCCACTACAGCACCAAGTACTTGAATTACAAAGGTTTATTTAGAAAATAGTTTGGTTGTCGCTTTTGGCAAACAGTTGAACCTTCCCAGCGACCACACCGGGTGGCCCTTCCAGCCTCGGGGGTCCTGGGGGGAGTCAGCCCTTGCTGGGGAGTGGGAGGGGAGGCGCGCGGCTCCCTGCTCCGCTGCAGGTGTGGGGGGTTGCCCCAGAGCAGCTCCTCGCTGAGACAGGAAGGCAAAGGGGGGGCTCCCCTTTCTCCTCCGCGTTCCCGGAGGCCGCCTGCACCCCTACAGATCTGCGTCCTCCCCTCTGTCCCTGAGTCTCTGGGCAGCGGGAGGAGGGGGCCGCGCCCACGCCCCCGCCCGAGTCACGGCCTGAAGCCCCTTCGCCGGCGGCGGAAAAGGATGTGCTTGAAGGAACGCCGGAAGTCCTGGTTGAAGACGGTGTAGATGACGGGGTTGAGCGAGCTGTTGCAGTAACCGATCCAGAAGAAAAACTTGAAGAGTGGGTCAGGCAGCTGGCAGGCCTCGCGGCAGATGCCATAAAGGCTGTAGCTGAAGAAGAAGGGGAACCAGCACAGCACGAACACGCCCATGACCACGGCCAGCACGACTGTGAAGCGCTTCTCGCGCGCCTGGGCCACCTTGCCGCGGCACACGCTGCTGCGCGCGCGGCGCCGGCGCGACAGGAACGACTCGACGGAACGCGAGCTGGAGCGCGACAGGCGCCCGCCGGGGGCCGGCGACCGGGAGGCCGCCAGCGCGCCCGCCTCGGCCCCGGGCGGCGGCCCCGGCTCCAGCCCCGGCTCCAGTCCCGGCTCGGGCGCGTCGGCGGCCTCCTGGGCGCCCGCGCGCCGCCGTCGCTGCCCGCCGCCCCGACGCAGCGCTCCCCGCCGCCGCCGCCTCTCGGCCGCCGCGCTGCTCTCGTCCGGCTCGAGGTGGGCGCTCGCGGGCGCACAGTGCCCGTTCTCTGTGGCCGGGGACGCCCCGCCGCCGTCGGGGGCCCCCGGGGCGCGCTTCTCGCTGAGCGAGCGCGTACGCAGCTTGGCCACGCGGTAGATGCGCGCGTAGACCAGGCCCATGACGAGGCAGGGAGCGAAGAAGGAGCCGATGCAGGAGGACAGGATGTACCAAGTCTCGTCGTTGAGGCCGCACTGCGGGTAGGCGGCACCGTAGGGCTGGCGGTAGAAGGATACCAGTGGCGGGAAGGAAATGAGCGCAGAGAGCAGCCACACGGCCACGATGGTAGCCTTGACGCGGCGCGGCGTGCGCTTGAGGTTGTACTCGACGGCGCGTGTCACCGACCAGTAGCGGTCCAGGCTGATGGCGCACAGGTGGCCGATGGACGCGGTGCAGAAGAGCACGTCCAGCGCCAGGTACACGCCGCACCATAGCTGCCCGAAGTACCAGTAGGCCATGAGCTCCTTGGCCAGCGAGAAGGGCATGACCAGCGTGGCCACCAGGATGTCGGCCGAGGCCAGGGACACCAGAAAGAGGTTCTGCGGCGCACGCAGCGCGCGGCTGGTCAGCACGGCGATCACCACCAGCACGTTGCCCACCACGGTGAAGACGATGAGGACGCCCACCAAGGCCGCCAGCCCTGCCACGGCGCCCGCCGAGTACTGGCCCCCGGGCGGCCCCCAGGGAGCCCCCGAGGCGTTAGCGCCGCCACCGCCACCGCCGCCCCCCTCTCCGGCGCCGCTCGCGTTGGGGCCCTCCGCCGCCGCCATCGCCAGCGCCGCCGCCAGCGCCGGGGCCGCCATGGTCCTCCCGCGAGCTACGCGGTCCTGCCTGGAGCCGGGGCGCAGCCGCCGCAGCCTGGGCGCCCTCCAGTCCGGGTAAGCGCCCGCATGGCCCGCCCGCTCCTCGGGAGGGCGCGCCCGCTGGGGGACCGCGGCGATGGGCGGCAGGCTGGCCGGCTCCCGGCTGTTGATGGTTCTGCAGGCGGCGCGCCGGAGAGCGAGGCTGCCGGGCTCCCCGCGGCTGCCGCGCGCGTAAGTGCGGAGCGGGAGGCGCCCGGAGCGAGTGGCGGCGCGGGGGGAGGGTGCAGGTCCCGGGGTCCTCCCGCGGCCCCGCCCTCGGCTGCTCACAAGGAGCCCACGGCGCCGCGGTGCCCGGCCCAGGCGCAGGCTGCGGGCGGTGGCGGCGGTGGCCCGGGCGCTCCGCCTCCCATCCGGCTGCCTAGGGCTCGGAGCCTTGGGGCGCAGGCCGCTGCTGCTCCGGAACCCCGCACCCGCGCGCAGCCTCTGGCTCCAACTTTACTTTCCCGGACTGGGCGCCGCCGCGAGCCCTCCTCCCGCCGCCTCCGGGCGCGGGCGCCCCCCGCGGTCCACGCTCGGCCGTGCGGGAGCCGCCTGGTTCGCCCGCGCTGCGCCGCCGCCGCCGCCTTCCCCTCCGCCGCCGCCGTGCGCTCAGACTCGGCTTCCAACTTAGGGCGAGTTGCGCAGCGGGGAGGGGCGGGGCGCCGGTCAGGCCCCTCGCCGCCGGCTGGGGTGGGGAGTCCGAGTCCGCAGCCGCCTGGGCTAACCTGCCGGGGAGGAGTCGGGGGCGGCGGCGCGGGGCGCGCGCTCGGAGAGAGGGCGCCCTCTCCGGGACCGACTGCAGCCTGCCAGGGCCGGACTGGGCGCTGGCTGGCCTGGGCGGTGAGTTCCAGAAGCTGCTCCCTGCGCTGGGCACAGTCACACAGGCGGGCGCGGACACGAGCGCGCGCCCGGGGTCCACGGTCTGATTGGAGAGCGGCGTTCTCGCAGCCTCAGGGGCCCGCGACGCTGCGTGTGCGCGCGCCGGTGCTGGGGTCCCGCCTGGGCCGGGTCTGCTCCCCGCCCCTCCTGCGCTGTCTTGCCTGCGCTGCTGGGGTGGGCATCTGCTTGCATAGGTGTGGACAGGCACAGAAGCTCATGTTTATGTGCCAGGACCCTACCCAGACAGGGCGTTGGGGGTTGAATTTAAGATCGCCTACTCTAAAGGACACCCGAGGATGAGCAGCCAGGTGACAGGCGGGACCCTGGGCGTTGCCATCCCTGTCCCTGCACCTTTCTTGCGCCCTGTCCAGGCAAACGGGGCTCCTGGAGGGCCGGGGCTCCGCCGGAGCAGCTGGTTCCAGCAGGGAGGGTGGGAAGCTGGGTGAGGGAGCGGGAACTGCTTGCTCCCCGTGCAGGTGTGTGGCAGCTGCTTCAGTGGCAGGCCACTTGGCGACACGAGCAGCTTGTCACCTGCAGAGTGGCGCCCCAGTGGTGGGGTGGACATCAAAGAGAGCGATCCTGGAGTAAGGGGTGCTGGTCACTGAGCCATCCTCACCTTGGGACACCTGGGGGTGCATTTTATAAGGGAGCTTGCCCTCAGGGCACACAGGGCAGAGAGTGGCGGAGGCCAGCATGCTGAGGCAGGTGCACTGGCCATCACTGAGTCCTCCCCAGCACTGGAGTGCAGATATCAAGGAAGGCTTCCTGAAGGAGGTGAGCAGGCTCCATCTGGAGGAGAAACGGTTGAGGCTACACCAGCAGTGGGCTCAATCCTACAGGCATGGGCAGCCGGAAGAGGTGCCCAGGTTGGGCAGTGGGTTCCAAAAGCTGCAGGCTTTGACAACTCTCCCCTCCCCCCAGCTTTCAGGGGCACTGTCTACGGGCACCTGTAGCCCAGAATCGAGGCATTTGGATGCAAAGAGAGCCTAGCCTCAGGGGCTTGGAGTCCAACGCGGTGCCCCACTGCCCAGGGAGCAGCCCCCAGCCTGGGCTCCTGGGCGGTGTGGTGTCTCTGGCCTCGCCAGAGGAGGGCTTCCAGGCTCGGGTCTGAGGGTTCACAGCCGGGAGCAGTGGGTATCGTCCTGATCACCTGTGCCCCATCCCCAGCTTCCTGGGGGGGGGGGGGTCTGGCTGAGTGGCTAGTGCAGCCGGGTAGCGGGGTGCACGCTGAGGCTGTGCAGGTGCTCAGCTGTCTGAGACAGGAGTCCCAGGCCGGCTGCCCATGCCAGGGCCACACACCCTTATCAGAGTAAGGAAGTGCGCCCGTGTGCGCAGCTGAACAGTACCCACGCACCCACTGCCTGCACACATGTGTGCACACACTTACGTGCAATCAGTGCAAGGAAACCTGGCTTCTCCACGTGCAGAGGTCCCTGCACGCAGTGGGTGTGCGGACATCTGACTGCGTGTTTGCACGTGCATGTTACTGTGCAGCCCAGCTGCCACGAGGAAGCTTGCCTGGCCATGGCAGGCCAGATTACGCCTCACCTCCTCCGTCTGCTCATTTGCTGCAGGCAGAGTGTCCTCGCGTGGCCTTTGGGCCCTGGCACATGCCACTGTCAGGGCCCGCCAAAGCTTAGTCTCCCCTGAGGCTGCCAATAGGATGTGCCTCCTCCAGGAGGCCTCCCGGAGCTCCCACCAGGTCTGGGACCCCTTGGCTGGGGCAGGAAGCTGTCAGGCATTGAGCTTCTCCATGCCTGTCCCTACCGGCTGACTCCAGGGCCCAGCTCACAACAGAAGCTCAGTCTGCAGGGGGCACTGCTCTGAGACCTTTGCCAGGAGCCCTCGGATGGGCCTGCATGTGGCTCCACCCATGTAGGCCATGCAGGCTGCCCTCCCCCTCCCTCCAGGTGTGGGGGGCTGGCAGGTGGAGCCCCCAACCCCAATCCTCCCCAGCCTCAGTAGCGACCTCTGCTCCTCTCTCTGCGTTCAGTCTTGCCCTGGGGAACCTCCTGCCTTCCTGAGGTCTGAGCTGTCCGTCTGTCCAAGGGGGCATTGGCCCCTGCTTTCCAGGGCTGCGCCCCGCCCTTGGCCGGGAGCTCCTGCAGGTGGCCCTGCCCTGGCGGGAGGAGCCCGCAGCCCCTGGGGGTAGGGGCTTGGGTCTGGGGGGGACTTCTCATGCTGGACCAGGGTCTCTCCGCACGCGCTGCCCCCTCCCCAGTGTCCATGTGAAATTTTGTTTTGAAAAATGAACCTGGGACAGTGAGGTTTGAGTCTCTCCTTGCCCCTCCCTGCAGAATCCCCACAGGCAGTTCGTCTTGTCAGAGCGTGGCAGGGTTCCGCGGCCCAGCCGGCTCCTGTGGCCGAGCCACCGGCATATTGATCAGCAGTGAAGGCGAGTCTGACGGAAGGCCCTCTGGGGGAGGGGCTGTCTTGGGTCAGCGTCTCTTATTGAGTATCAGCTTGTAGCTCCGTCGGCCCCAGCCCTGTGGAGCCACCCCTGCAGGGGCAGGAGCACAGGGCCAGCAGCTGGGGTGTGCAAGCCCTGCCCGCCCCCCAGGGCAGGTAGATTTTGCTCCATGCTGGGCAGGGTGTGACGGGATGGGGGGGGGACATTGAGTGCCTGCAGTGCATCCAGGAGTGCCAAGGACCCCCGGACCCCAGCTCTGTCCCCAGCCTAGCTCCAGCCAGGCGTCCTGGGCAGTTGGCAAGGAGTCCTGGACCCCCTTGGTGGCGTGCTGCCGGGTCTCTGCTGACCCCTCTGCCCCGGAGGCTCCACGCAGGAAGCAGGGTTACGTGGCAGACAGTAAACGCAGCCACCTTGGGATTCCTGGCTTGGACAAGCCCCATCACCTCCACCTTCCCTCCATCCCTGAGGGTGGGACAGCTTTGTCACTTCCCTGGCCCCTACAGCAGGGGCCTGTCTGCCTGCCTGCCTCCCCACAGGCCAGAACCCCAGGGTCTCATGAGGTCCAGAGGGGCTTGGCGGGAGTCCACGCCTCCCAGGCTGCTCTGTTGCTTCCAGAACTTTCTGCTCCCCATAAGGCTCTGCTGTATACCAAGACTTGGAGCGGCTCTAGTCTGGCTCTTGGCCACGTATTTCAGGATAATGGTACTTCTGGTGGAACACAAGGATCAAAACGGGGAGGCCCCTCCTGCATGCAGGGCGGGGGTCCCAGCCCCTTCTGACTCTTGATTCTGGAATATTTAGGAAGTGGTCCTGCTCATCCTGCCTCCCCATTGGTCAGGATATGGTCAGATGGCCATACTCACTGCATGGGATGCTGGGAAATGTAGTCCTCTAAGCCACCATAGTCTGTTATTAGCCAAGGGGGCCTGGCCATCTGGGTGCTGCTGTGTTGTAGGGTGCTTCCCCTCAATGCCAGGAGCATCCCCCAGGCATGACAACAAAAACTGGTCATGCCACTCGTGGGTGGGACCCAGCGGGTAGGCCCTGGAGTTTACAGCAGCTGGGGGTGGGGAGGGGTGGCTGCTGGAGCTGGGATGGGGAGGGAGATGGGAGCAGGCCCATCACCCCAGTCCATCTTGGGTCTTTGCTAAGAAAGTAGAGAGACAGTGAGCTGTGTGGTCACTCTCCCAAGAGGTCAGTGTCTTGATGTCAAGACTTGAGGGACAGGGAGGCTGCCCTGGCCAGGGTGGCAGATGTCCCTAGCGGGACGGGAGGCAGGGACACATGGAGAGGGGACGTGCTGGTTTCCGGGGGAGAGCCAGCCCTATCCACAGCTTTGCTTACACCCTCGCCCCGGGAATGAGGGTGTGCTACCTCGGATGGACAGGGGCAGCAGCTCCTGGGGTGCAGCACAGACAGGCAGTGTGCACAGAGCCGCCATGAGCCTTCAGGGGCAGAACAAATGGGAATAGCCCCGGGGACTGGCACAAACAGGTGGTCAGACAGCAGGCAGCGTGTCTCCCAGAGCCGCTGCTGCAGAGCCCGTTGGCAAAGGTGCTGGATCCCAGGAGCTCCCGCCCAGGGTCCCCTTGTCTGAGCATGGTGCATGGACGGCTGGACAGGGCCCTCCTCGCTGGGGCGGGGTGGGGTGCGGCAGGACAGCCCCAGCGTC